TTTTTTTTTTTTTTTTTTTTTTTTTTTTTTTTTTTTTTTTTTTTTTTATTTCAATACATTTTATTAAAGAATTTAAATACAGAACACATTTTGAGCATCATTTTTTAAACATTTAAAAATCACAGCTGACCACAGTCATGCGACCAGGCAGTCTAAGAAACCTCTGCACCGCCTTCAGCCTGGAGAGAAGTTCCTGACTGAGGTCAGCTGTAACAGACAATTTACTTACATTGTTAAACTACTTTTAAATTTTATTTAGAAAAGCTCCAGTTTCCACGTCTTTAACTGTTTTTACGACCACAGGTCCACATGGAGGACTTTACAGATTCTAACTCCGGAAGTTCAGGTTAGAGTCTGATGATGTCATTAACTTTAAACAGTCTGAACTTCACAACCTTTTTAACAAACAAACTTCATAGTTCCACAATCTTTTGTCCTTTAGTATAGTTTTTTTTTTTTGTCTAAATGTTGGTTTTCTGTCAGATGATTGAGCTCCTGTTAGAGAACACAGATGATGGATGCTGGATGAGCTGTAGGTAAGATCTCCATGGAAGTCAGGCAGAGTGATGCATCTTCTCATTTTAAACTCTCTGACAGGACCGTTCATCAGTGTAACACAGCATTAAACCGCTGTGGTGCGTTCAGGGAACAAATGTGAACAGTTAGACCAGAGGAGGATCCAGCGGGTCTCACTGCAGCATTCAGCTCTCCTGGTTTCGTGCTCCAGCCCAGAAGTCAGTGATTTAATTTGTCCTGATGGGTGGGAACGTTCTCTCCATCACGAGGCAGAGTGTTTTTCCACAGGACTGCACACGGTGCTGAAAGGCAAAGATATGCCACAAAGACTCCTGAAGAGGAGGCGGACACCTGCTCCGGTCCAAAACCAGGACTCAGCTGAGTCTGACAACCCAGAACACCCTGCAGACAGAAACCGGTTCTGGTACTGCGGAACTGTTCCGCTGAGGAGTCCCTGATGGGTGAGAGCTGCTGTAGGCTCAGTGAGCTGTCAATCAAACGCTAAGGATGCTGGGTACAGTTTAAATCATGGATTCAAGATGGTTTCCATGGAAACCAGACGGATGAGAGGAAAACAACATTAACGGTACTAACACAACTTCCTCCTATATAGCAGAGTCGCCGGTTGCCATGGTGATCCCGCCTTTTCTTAGATGAGCGCACAGCAGCACTTCAGGCAGAACCACAGAGTAAAATGTAAGCCTCAGAACACCGGGCTCTGTGTGAAATATGAGTCGGATCAAACCACAAGTTCTGTTCGATGGTTCTACCGGGTTTAATGGAGGGGATATGACACGTTAAGAAGAGCCTTCACTTCCTGTTTGGAAGCTCAGATACAACGGAGGTCAATGTGAGTTTGGGTGTGTGACCTCTGACCTCTGAGAGGAAACCATCAGTCCACCAGCAGAGAGACGCACTGGGAGGACGAAGACAGAAACCGTTGTGTTCAAATCTGTAAAATCCTTCATTCATGTTAAACTGCGAGTGTAAAAAGTGTTAGAAAGTCCAACTTCCTGTGACACGCTTAAACTCTGAATGATGTTCTGCTGCGACGTCTGGGTTGGAGATCCAAACAGGACCGGGTTTTACCGTCGATGGTCGTCTATGGTGTCGCCTCCGTCGTTGGACGTTCTGCTGTCAGAGCTCCGTGTCCTGATGGAGATGCAGGTTTGGTGGACTTATCAAAGTTTTCCAAAGCAGTGAATTTAAAACTCTGATGGAAAAATAACGGCTGAATAATTCGTGGTTCAGAAGGTTCTGAATCATGAATTACTGCAGAACTGAACCAGGATCAGTTCCTGCTCCACACAGACTATTAGACCCAGAGACCTGTCAGGGTTTCATGATGTGTTCAAATCCTTCCACAGCAGGTCAGCCGATCAGAACCTGGAGAATCCTGACTGATTACAGATCTTTCTGAGATGGATCAGAACCATCCAGCCCGACCCGGCTTCAGGTTCTTTACTACCAAACAGTCAGAGGATTAAAAAATGCAAGGATTACTTCATCCTTTCAATAATCCAACATTTTTCTTTATTATTCTGTTTTTTATTTTACGTCCTGGGTTCTCCCAGATGTTCTCATCTAGCATCTAGAAACTGATCAGAACCGTCAGCAGAACCCAAAGCCCGTGCTCCCCCACAGAGCCACCATCACCGCCTCACTCACACTGTTTGGGTGCTTCTCACCTGATCAGCACAAACAAACTGAATCAACAGGAAGTCCGCGGTGCGTTCAAGGCTCTCAGGTTTCCCAGGCTTCTACGTTCCTGACGGCGGAGCTCAGAACCCTCTGGAACCTGATCTCTGGGTCAATGAAACACTCAGATCAACAAACACAGTCTGAACAGAACCTTTCTCACCCAGAGGGAACCAAAACACTGTAAATACAGGAGACCTTGGAGCAGGCCCAGAACAGGACCTGCTTCCCCGTCGGCTGGCGCAGTGAACGTTTTAAGCTCCGCCCCCTTTATGTTAACAAACAGGACATCGGTCTTTTAATGAAAACACCTCAGATCAGGTTTCAGGTGCGACCCTGTAGTCCTCGCCTCGCTGCCATTTCATCAAAAAGCCCTGTTTTTATGTCATGTGACTCCATGACCATGTGCACGGAAGTAGGCGGGGCTTAAAGCCTCATCATTAGAGTGAAGACTCCAACATGGCAGCTCCTGTAAATCCAGTCCTGCGGGGCTTCAGGAGGGGACATGATGTTCATGCTGCTTCTAAAGGCCACGCCCATGTATACACAGGCCACGCCCTCTAATCTCCTGTCAGTCTACTGTTTTCCCTGTAAGACATGGCTGATGATGAGAGCCCACATTTACACCCAAGGAGGAAAACAACAACAGGAAGTGACAACCTCGTCAAAATAAAAGTCTCTGCTGAGCCTAGTCCACGCCCTCCTGAGTGAAGATGAGGATCTGGTCCAATCAGATCCTCGTTTCCACTCAAAGGGTGGAACATAACGGACCCGTTATGTTGTAGATCAGCTGCTGTGTTTGGGGTCATGGTTCTGTTGGACCAGTTTGGTCCAAGCTTCAGCTGTTGGACTACAGAGGAACTTCTGATCTGGTCTACAGAGGAACTTCTGATCCACTCAGTGACAGGAGCCCAAACCATCAGCCCTCCACCACCGTGCTGACAGCTGGGAGGAGCTGTTTGCTGCAGTGAATTGTGGGTAAACACATCCACTCTGGCCTCGTGTGTCCAAGGGACGTTGTTCCAGATGTTCTGGTCCCCTGAGGTGACGTCAGAACCTGCTCAGACCGGCTCAGTTCACTGTAAAACATCAGAGCTGTAGACTTCCCTCCTGCTGGATTTAAAGCCGACTCCAGAACCGAGCCGGGCCTTTAAAGAGTTCTGTTCCTCACAGAGCACAGAGCACAGAGTCAGCAGAACCCTGAGTCAGAAGCAGCTGCAGCCGGGTCATCATCAGAACCATTAATTAACCCATACAGTCGGTACCTCTGACGGCTCTCTCTCTCTCTGTGGGGTCATGTGATCTGATCCGGACCAATCAGAACCAACTCCTTCTGTTTGGCTCTGTGGTTCTGGAGCCCAGGAGGGCCATCTTTGACCATCTGTCCTCTCCCCTGTCCATCCACTGTCTCTGTCCTCGTCTGCATCGACCCGTTTGGTTCTGTTTACAACAGAACCTCAGGTAACACCATCAGACATCAGCAGCGACCAAACAGGCCGAACCTCGAGTCCACGGACCTGCACAGCCTGGTTCTGTTTGGACCTCCAGCCCAGACCTGACAGCAGAACCATCGTTCAGTTTAAACGGGTCACAGAAAGTTGGACTTTCCAGGACTGAGCTGACTTTCACACATTTGATGGTTTTAACACGATCCCAGACCAGCACGGAGGATTTTACTGGTTTATTCAAAGATTGTTCTACTCAGAGTCGAAAACTGAACATTTTTACAAACAAACCGTTTCCATCATTTTTCTTCTTCTCCTCCAAACTTCAGTCCTCCCACTGCGTCTCTCTGCTGGAGGACTGATGGCTTCCACCCAGAGGTCAAAGGTCAAACACCAAAACTCCCATTGACCTCCATTGTATCTTCCAAACAGGAGGTGAAGGATCTTTTTACACTTGTCGTGTCTTCTCTATAAAACCCTGTAGAACCTTCAAACAGAACCTGTGGTACCATCAGAACCTCCTGCTGCTCACGGGTCCAGAAGTTTGGTCTGACTTCATGTTTTCACACAGAGACTGTCTCTTCGGTTCTTCAGCGGTTCTTCCTGAATGTTCTCCACTGGGTTCTGGTTCCGACATGTTTTCCTCTCGGTTCTAAATGTTCTGATGGTTCTGTTGGGCTCAAACATCCAGATGTTCCACCAGAGGTTGTAACATTTTGAGACCTGCTGTCTCCTCTTCCTCACTTCTGACACTCGTCTTCATCCTCTGACAAAACACTGGCTGTCTTTGAGCTGTCCCCTCTAGTCCCTGTGTCCACTTATTTGTCTCTGTCTCCATCTGTCTAACTCTCTGTCCCCACTCTCTGTCTCTGCTTTGTCTGTTTCTCTGTCCCCACCTGTCTGTCTCTGTCCCCATCTGTCTAACTCTCTGTCCCCACCTGTTTGTCTCTGTCCCCATCTGTCCGTCTCTGTCCCCACCTGTCCATCTCTGTCCCCACCTGTCCATCTCTCTGTCCTCACCTGTCCGTCTCTCTGTCCCCACCTGTCCGTCTCTGTCCCCACCTGTCCGTCTCTGTCCCCACCTGTCTCTGTGCTGCATCAGTTTTCCAGCCCTGTGGTTGGAACAAACACCGCCTCCATCCCATAATAACCACACCTAACAGCAGCTGCTGCATTCAGGAGCAGCAGGAGACTGCAGCACTCATCCATCCATCTTTCCTTCCATCCATCTTCCCATCCATCCATCCACCCTCCTACCTGCCGCCTTCTCTTTGCTCTCCATGATGCTCTCCGGACCCGGTTCTGTTCTGGTTCTGGTCGAGCTGGTCCTCCTCCTGGCCTGCTCTTCTTCCGCTCCTGTCCTCGATCAGCTGCTCGCGCGGGAGACTGTGTCCGCTGCTGAGGAAGAGGAGGAAGAGGAGGAGTGATGCGGACAAACGAGTTTCCTGGAAAATCGGCGCGAGCCTCTTCCTCCTCCCGCCTCTTCTTCTTCTTCTGCTCTTCCTGCGGACTTCAGGCTCGTGCCTTCACCTGGGCCGTGTCCGCGCGCCTCGCTGCTGCGGCTCCAACCCCTCAGTGACGTCACCGCAGGGCTGACACTGATGAAGATGAAGATGGTGGTGCGGTATGAGTTCAAAGTGCCACCTGTCGCCTAAACAAGACCACGCCCAAAACACCACACTTACTGCACATGCGCAAAGAAACAAACAAAAACAAAAAAAAACAGCTCCTGACCCTGGACCACTGATCCTGAACTCTTCATCCAGTTCCTCAGGATTTTGTTGTCCTCCCTGATCCAGATGTTCCTGCTGTTTGACAAACTAGTTTTGGGTCAACAGTCCTCCAGACTTCTGGAGGTCTTTCAGAGACTCAGTTCTTGTTCCTGATGACCTCAGGCTGAAAATATCTCAGAGGACAGATCGGTTTTAACAGGACAGGATGGACAGATCAGATATTTAGTCTCTTTGTGTCCCAAAGACTGAACCTGTCCCTCTCTTTGTGTCCCAAAGACAGAACCTGTCCCTGGATCTTTAGAGGAAAACTCAAAGAGCCTCCGTTTAATTTCAGCTACAGCAGCTGAAATTAGAAAAACATTAACTAAAATGTGAAAAACAGTTAAGCTAAATGATCTAAACCACAGCCAAAACTAAATATTGTAAAACAGCTCAAATCTAGAAGTAGCTAAAACTTTTGGCTCATTTAAATTAATTGGACTTTTTTGGAGGGCAGCACGGTGGCACAACAGGTAGAGCTGCTGCATCTCGGCGAGCAGATCCCTGGTTCAAATCCTGGTCCGGAGGCCTTTCTGGGTGGAGTTTGTATGTTCTCTCCATGCATGCGTGGGTTTTCTCCGTGTACTTTCCTCCCACAGACCAAAAACATGCATGTTTGGCTGATTGATAACTGTTCATTGTCCCTAGGGGTGAGTGAGAGAGTGAATGGTTGTTTGTCTCGTTTGTCTCTATGCGTCCCTGTGATGGACTTGCGACCTGTCCAGGGTGTCCCCCGCCCCTCGCACAGTGATTGCTGGACATGGGCACCGGCGACCCCCATGACCCAAAATGGAAGAAGCGGGTAAAAGATAATGGATGGATGGATTATTTCATGGGTTTTTTTTGTATAATTAGCAAATGCTACTGGATGCCTCACCCCCACCCCCTGAGATTAATAAAGTATCTATCTATGGACACACCAGGTTAGGGAGGCTGTCAAGCTAAAGAAGGAGTTGGGCCTTGATGGCTGGTGGGACTCCAGAGGCAGCTGAGGAGTACTGGAGGACCACGCGGTCTGCAGCCTTGGCTGTTGCTGAGGCAAAAGCTCGAATGTGGGAGGAGTTCAGTGAGACCCTTGCTAGGGTCTTCAAGGGTTCATGGGAGTTTGCCAATCCAGTCTACATGTGTTTTGTGGACTTGGAGAAGGAATTCGACCGTGTTCCTCGGGGTACACTGTGGGGGGTGCTCCATATGAGATTGGGGGCACGTTGTTATGGGCTGTTCGGTCCCTATACAAGCGGTGCGAGTTTGGGTTGTATTGCCTTCAGGGTGGGAGTTGGGACTCTGCCAGGGCTGACTGTTGTCACTGATTCATAACCTTTATGGACAGAATTTCTCGGTGTAGCCAGGGGCTGGAGGGAGTCCGGTTCAGAGGCCTCAGGATTCCAGCTCTGCTCTTTGCAGATGATGTGGTCCTGTTGACGTCATCATGCCGTGATCTTCAGCTCTCACTGGAGCGGTTCACAGCCGAGTGTGAAGCAGCTGGGATGAGAATCAGCACCTCCAAATCTGAGGCCATGGTCCTCAATTGGAAAAGGGGCGGATTGCTCTCTTCGGGTTGAGGTTCTGCTTCAAGTGGAGTTCAAGTATCTCGGGGTTTTGTTCACGACTGAGGGAAGAATGGAGAATGAGATTGACAGACGGATTGGTGCAGCATCTGCATTATTGTGGACTCTGTGCCGGTCCGTTGTGGTGAAGAGGGAGCTGAGCTGTAAGGTAAAGCTGTTTACCAGGCGGTCTACGTTCCTACCCTCACCTATGGTCATGAACTCTGGGTGGTGACTGAAAGAATGAGATCGCTGATACAGGAAGTTGAAATGAGTTTCCTCTGCAGGGTAGCTGTACTCTCCCTTAGAGACAGGGTGAGAAGTTCAGTTATCAGGAGAGACTCGGAGTAGAACCGCTGCTCCTCCACATCGAGAGCCAGTTGAGGTGGTCTGGTAAAATTGCTCTCTGGGCACTTCCCTATGGAGGTGCTTCGGGTATGTCCAACTGAGAGGAGACCCCAGGGAAGACCCAGGACACGCTGGAGAGTTAGCCCCTTTTTTCCAAGCCTGGGAACACCTTGGAGTCCTTCCAGAAGAGCTGGAAGAGGTGGCTGTGGAAAGAGATGTCTGGACCTCGCTGCTCAAGATGCTGCCCCCGAGACCTGACCTCGGACCAAGAGGAAGATGGATGGACTTTAAAAGTAGCTAAATGTTTTCATAGTTTCGAACATGCAGGTTAACGAGACGTCATGATCAGAATTAACTTAAACATTTAAACGTGAAGTCGTTTCAAGAACAAAGAACCAGAACCTGTTCTGGTTAATGGACCTTTAACATTTCCTGTGTCGCTGCAGTCGGTTCTGAGGATGATAAACGGTTTCCAGTTGGCATGGCGACCAGTCCCACAGCACAGAGGAAGAACCGAGGTCCAACAGAACCCTGCGGAGAGGAGCAGGTGGAGGACAGGTGCCGAGACAACAGGAAGCTGGAACCAACACAGCTAAAGACAGGAAGGGAAAAAGCTGAGGAGGAAACAATGAGAGGCGAAGAGAACTGACAGGAAGTGAAACAAGAAGCTAAAGATTTGAGGAAAGATAGAGAGAAATAATAAAGAGCTGAACAACAGCTGAAATCTGTTGGAGTAGTGTTAAAGCCTAAACAAGGAGAGGCTGAAATAAACAGAAAACATGCTGAAAACTAAAAGCAGCAGAACAGCAGCTAAGATTAGCCTAACAGATGCTAATATTCAAATTAGCAAAACATGAGCTAAAACAAACAAAACCAACAGTAAAAGCTAAAAGGAACAGAATTGCTCCTGCAAGAAGCAGGACAGTAGCTTTAAGCTAAATGAATTACAGCTAAGTAGCAAAACAGTGGCTAAAAGCTAACACAAAACAGAGGCAGCAGCTGAAGCTAATTTTAAAAAAGTTTTTGAAGGAACTGGAGATCTCGGATTGTTTCTGTGGGCAAAATATTCGTGAAAAAAAAAGGTTAAGTATTTTTTAAAGTATAAAAGTTACAAAAAACAAGTCACAGCACCCATCGCTTGATTAAGCCGAAGGTTTGGATGTATGAACAGCTAAAATAGAGCAAAGTGTGTGGACAAAGTTAAGAGTCCGAACAGCCAAAATGCTGACTCAGCAGTTCTGTTTGAGCTGCAGAGAAAACAAAATAAAAGAGAGGACGAAATGTTAAAAATAAAATAAAACTGGGAATAAATGGAGGACGTGTTGAAGGAGACGAGGAGTTTGAGGAATAAATAATAAAGTCTGAAGGCAGAAAATTATGTTTGTATTTTTTCACAAACAGCTGAAGAAAAAAACAAACAAGCTAAAGTCACCAAGCTGAAGTTGAGGAAGTTAGTTTGGAGCTGAAAGAACGAAGAGCAGACTGAAGTTTGACAGATTTAATAATCAGGTGATATTTTTACATCAGAGCAGGAAAGTTCTGGCCCCCTCAGATGGCAGATCCTGCTGCCCCCTGCTGGCGGTCAGAGGGAACGCAGGCCTGAATAAATCCAACTGACCAACCAGAGCTTACATTAGTTTTCAGATTTCCATGACTGAACTGACTTTAGGTCTAAGTTCTGGCCTGATGCGTGTTTCTGTGATGGTCAGGTTTGGTCAAGATGTACCGCAGGATCTTCATCTAAAGGGTCCACCGTCTAAATCGTCTGTGAGTGAAATAAATCCATCATCGGAACCAAACTGAGCAGCAAACCACAGAAAGAAAGAGTCAGAAGGTTGTAACAGGAAGTGAGTTTGTGCCACTTCCACGGTTAAAACCCTCTGAACGAGGGGCGGAGCAGAGGGCGTTGCCGGGTCTTTAGTGTCTGGATGCTACATGGCGTGCACGTGTGTGTTGGGTGTGCGCACGTGTGTGTAGTGAGTTCACTAATTGCACTTGAGGATGAGGATGAGGAGATGTGGAGGTGTCACTGGTCAGACGCCTTACAAGACATTTCTGGAACTGTTTTAAGACTTTAACACAAAACGACAAAAGAAAACACAAAAACTAGAATCGAGTCGACTCAACCAGCCGAGGACCGGCTGAGGCTCCAGCCGACAACAGAACCAGAACCTCCAGGTCTGATTCTGCAGAATAGAAACGACAAAGAAGACCAACAAACAGTGGAGTGGATGTTCAGGAGGAAACCCCCCCGAGACAAACGATCAGTCCTCTTAGCTCCACGAACCAAAGACGAGCCGAAACACAAGAGAAGCAGCTGAAGAGAAACAAGAGGACGTCATGATGTCCCCTCTGTGACACTGAACCTGACGGAGGTCCAACCTCAGCAGAACCGTAAACACGTCTCCACTGGGAAGACAAATTAATTTAACCATTTGTTTTCCAAGTGGGATGATTCTACAAGACAACGGTTCAAAACCAAGAACTAGTGCACTAGTTGGTGGTGCAGAAGGTCTTTTAACTTGAAAAGGCATTTTAGCTTCCTGTTAGTGATCAGGATTGACTGCAGCTGGTACAGTCTGGCCACCTCAGGTGGACGGAAACTGGTCCAGATGTTTAGGAAAGAAACCGTTTACACCAGTGTCCTTGTCCACCAGTGTCCCTGTCCACAGTGAGGCCAGTTCTACATTACCATGGACTGAGAGGACCAAGAAAGAAGCTCCAAAAGCTTCCAGCTTGACTAAAACCTTCAATTGTCCACTTGGGCAAAACAAACGTGCTCTGGAGAAAAGTTTGAGGGTTCGATGAGACAAAGTTGGGTCCAGCAGGACAATGAACCCAAACACACATCAGAACTGGTCTCTGATTGGACAAAACAAGGACAAATCAAGATCCAGTTCTGAATTACCGATGTTAAAGATCTGGAACATTTGTCAACTGAAGACCTCAGACGGGACAGTTGGACGTGTGTCCGGTGTGGATTAGATTCTGCGACCCAAACACGTTTTCTGAGGTTCTTCAATGCAAATCAAGAACATTGACGTCAACCTGAATCTCAGGAGGACGACCTGAAGATGTGGCTAACAGGAGAAGCTGCTCTTTGATCAGACTCCTGGTCTGCGGCCGTCCTTCGGTCCAGTGACACCTTTCTACCGATGTGTGAAACTACACTTCAGAACCAAAACGACACCAAATCCACCTTTAGATCAGAAGGGAAAGTGAGGATGTTTACATTCTGTGCAAAATTAGACAAAAAGTAGCCCGTGTGTCGTCAGTTTTCTTCTATTTACAGTGAAGCTTCTAAGACGTTAGTACCTCCATCATCGTCATTCATCTAGCAGGACTAAGACATTCCTCAGAAGAACCGAATCCACCTTTAGATGGACCTCTGCTGGGTCCACCCCTGGCTCTGAAACAACACAGCAACTCCTCAACAGCCCCGGTCAGAGACTCGGTCCTTGTTTGGGTGTGAAACCTGGATCAAGATGCTTCAGCTGTTTATAAGTACAGACGTCCAAGAGTCTGACACTTGGACTTCATACAAATAAAGAAGCTAATTGGGGGCCAAGATGGGGTAGAGCAGCCAAGCTGGGCCCTGAAAGCCCCAGGCTAGATCCCCAGCCACCCCCACATGTCGTGGCATCTCTGAGCAAGACACCCAATCTCTAATTGCTCCCCGGGCACCTACATAGCTGGAGCAGTCAAATGCAGTGAACCAATTTTGCCATTGTATACGATGACAACACATAGCACTTTACTTTATTATTATAATTCTAAATAATTTTTATTTTAATGTTTTCTGATACATTTCCTGGTCAACCAGAACCTTCAGAGGCCTGAGCATCTTCCAGGGATTTTGGTCTCGACTAAACAAACCCGGTATTTTCAGGAGTTGACGGGTTTCATTTTGTTCCAGAATGGACCAGCAGTTCCATCTCCAGGTGGATTTCTGTCCCTTCCGTCAGTTTTAAAACCGCCTGCTGCTACTCAGCGGTCAGTTTAAAAGGCATTCAGCAGGTAGAAAACACAGGGCACACAGTGAGAGAGGAGGGAGCGGGGGATGGGAATACAAAAATAAAACTAACCAATAAAAAACTGTGGCAGACAACACGATCACCTCACATTGTGACAGGGAACATAAAAAAAGTAAAAAATAAAGTTTCAAAGGCAGCGGGGCACCAGGTGAGGAGGTCTGGGGGAACGTCTCTCGAGTCTCAGAAGAACTTGTCGTCGATGCGGAAGTGCGGCCGCGTGACGTCGTCCGGGTTGATGAAGACCGAGATGGATTTCCCAGGATTCTCCGTGACGAGCTGCTGAAGCTTCTTGGCCAGCCGGTCGTCGGGCTGGTTGTCTCCGCTGGCGTCGGACTGCGGCGACGGCAGGTTGTTGGAGCTGCCTCGCCACTGCAGTTCCACCGTCAGCCTGTTGGCAGCCTTGGCGTGCTCAATGGTGGTGCGGAGGTGCTCAGCAGGGTCGGAGCGCACCGACGAGAGTTTGCGGGCGTGCAGCATGGCCGTCTCGTCTGACAGGTGCTCCAGCATGTTACACTGAGGAATGAAGTAGTTGGGGCACATCTTGTTAACCAGGCAGTGCTGCAGGTCATCAATCAGACCCAGCAGGAAGTGGGCGGAGAAGTCGTCCTGTCCCAGGTAGCTGGTGGGGAGGCGGTCGCAGGCCCACAGCATGATGCTGCGGAGGTGGTAGGGGCTGATGGCTTTGGGGCGGGACAGCAGCTTAATAATGATGGCCTTACAGGCCTGGTACGCCTGCATAAGGCTGGACGAGATGCACTTCTTCAGCTGCACCTCGCTCCGGGCAAACGACAAGCGCCACTCATTCTCCTTGCGGCCTTTGTGGGAGCAGGCAGGGACGAGGTAGAAGCCACTGATCACCTCCTCCTCCGTGATCTTCCCATCCCAGAAATGGTTCTCCATCAGCCAGCTCTGAGCGACGGCCGGCCAGCCTTTAAACGACACCACAGGGACGATGTCGTAGAGCATCCGGCTGCCGCCGGCGCCCAGGATGACGGAGATGATGGTCCCGTTCCGCTCCACCTTCTCCACCTTCGGCATTCCTCTCTGTGGCTTCTTCTGCACCTCCAGCAGCACCAGGGAGATGGACTGATAGAACCAGTCTGCCACCAGAGTGGGAGAGAAGAAGTAGTTGGTGGTGCCGTTGATGTGGTCGACGATGGTGCAGCAGTCCTTCCACTTGTTGATGGTTCCTTCGTCGAAGAGACGGAGGCTGAGCCAGGAGTGGCCGAGCGCCGAGTGCCTCATGTCCAGGGTTACTGGCTGGTTGCGGTCATGGAGTTTGAGAGCCGGGACCAACAGGGTGAAGTCCATGTCGTAGTCTGTGCCACGGGCGTAGACGCTCAGGTCGTCCAGGTCCATGTCTACCACACCTTCCCGGACACCTCCTGAAAGCAGGAGGTACTCGTTGGCCACTGGGAGCTTCTGGTCCAACTTCTGAACCATCCCTGAGACACAGAGGAGGAGTCGGTCAGTGAGGAAAAGATTTATACCTTCATCCAGAGTGCAAAGGTCAAACGCATCATTGCAACACAAACAAGAGGTGGTCGAGTGGGTATGAGACACGGTTCATCCCAAAACAGTGTTTCTGAACGTTCTAATCAAATGTGACTGTAATTTCCCAGGTTCTGAGAAGTCCTTGAACTGCTCATCACCCTATTATTGGAAAATAGGGTGGGATTCTGTCAGGGACTTCAGTGAGGGATCAACAGAGGACAAAACTGGGAAAGGAGAAGAACTTACTCTGGGTGTCAATTAGGCCTGTCACGATAACAAACTTTGCTGGGCAATTAATTGTCTCAGAATATTGTTTGAAATTTGACAATAGTAATTATTGTCAAATTTAAGAAGAAATGTGGGTTAATTTTTGTGTGTAGTACCTTTTTTGACCACTGGATGGCAGTATAAGACCGTTTAAACCCAAGGATGGATAGTGAGGGAGCAAGCAGCGAGTCTCTAAGAAAAATGGGAGGGAGGCCCCTTGACGTGACATGGGCTGCCTCTCCTTCCTTTTTTCCAGTTCTCAAAATGGCGGACGCTCGGTGTGGCCTGATTTCTTTAGCATAGCATTTTTCACACAAAGCTTTTAATTAAAAAAAAAGTCAGTAAACAAGTTCTCAGCTTCTTTTTGCAGAGAAAAACAAATTTTTACACAAAGGCACTGGTTTCAACCGTGAATTTTGGAACTTCGACAAGACGGAGGTTTTTTCCAGAGGTCGGCCTGTTAGCTTAGCTCGTAGCTTAGCTTCTCAGCTTAGCTGCTTTTAGCGATCCTAAATTGCGATTTTGGATCATTAAAACGGATTTTAAAGAAAAGAGAAAGTGTCAGTGAAGAGCACCGGAGTTGAGTCTTTTGTCATCCAGTGTCTTCAGTAGAAAGAGAGAGAAACGATAAAGCCGATAAATGAAAATGAGGTTGATACTTTTCATTTATCATGCGATTAATTAATTTATTGTTTATCGTGACAGGCCTTGTGTCGACGGAGAATGGAGACGTTGACAATGTTTAATTTGACCGGTTGGAGTTGGGGTTTTGTGCAGCTAATGGAGGCGACAGCGTTGTTCAGGTTTTTTTTATATTTTTTATTTTATTTCACCAGGAAGAAATCCATTGAGATCATCAATCTCTTTTACAAGGATGTCCTGGATTATTTTATTTAGTTATTTAGATTAGTTTATATCAACAAAAAATGCTGAAGCTAACACGTTAGCCCAGTGCTAGTCCAGTGTGTGGACCTGGGCCTCGTTCGGGGTTTGTGTCTGCTGTAGACAGCGCTCTTGGACAGATCGCCTCCCAGCTCCTGCGTCCGGGGCTCAGGACTCGTCTCTGAACAGCTGGAAGACCAACTCTGGATGAGACGGAGCAGACGCACACGGATATTCCAGCATCGCACTCATCTGGGACCGGAAGGCTCCAAGCAGCAGAGCCAGCGTGTTCTTCCAAGAGAAGCAGCAGCATCACTGAAACAACGAGTGAGCTCCAGGCGGCGCCGCGTGAACAAAGTGGTGCAACCAGCTGACTTGTGGAAACAGTGCACCGTTTGGATTGTTTGATTTTAATATTTCTGAGGTGCGGAGCTCCATTTTCTCATTTTGTGTTAAAAAAATATATTTGTGTGAATGTTTATAAATCCTTCACTGCTGAGATCCAGTTTTCTTCCATGCGTTTTTCAGTTCGTAACTTTTTATTCTTGTTCCATTTCAACGATTCAAGAATCAAAACGTTCGGCTCGTTCTGGACATTCCTGCTTGACTTTTGGTATTCGAGCAAATTTTACTTTTTGAAATATTTAGCTCTGTCGGCCATGTTTTTTTCATTGAAAATGAATGGAGCTGATAGATGTTACTTACTCCTCCAACTCTTACGGCTCATTTCAGCTTTTCTTCTGGTTCAGATTTTTTCAGCTATTCTTCTGCTCCTTTCAGCATCTTTCTGCTGAATTCAGCTTTTTCAGCTAATTTTATGTATTTTTTGGCTAATTCCAGACTTTTATGCTTATTTCTCCTGTAATTACCAACTTTTGTGCTTCTTTCTAAAATTCTAATTTTTAAATGATCATTTCAGCCTCTTTCTGCTCGTTTCATCTTTTGTTCAGCTTTGTCAACTTGTTTATGCTATAAGATTCTTTCAGATCCTTAAAACTTCTTTTTGCTAAATTCAGCTTTTAAGCTACTTTTAAGCTTTTTTAAATAGTTTTATTTCTGCCTTTTGTGCTACTTTCTAATATTGTCAATTTTTATGATCATTTCAACTTCTACTAATTTTAACTTTTTATGTTCTTCTCAGTGTTGTATCTAGTTTTGTGGTATTTATCTGCTAATTTCAGCCTTTTTTTCAGCTTTTTCTTTGAGGTTTTTTTACCTTTTGTGTTTTTTTCCTAATAATGTTAAATACTGTATTTATGCTCATTTCAGTCTCTTTTAGTTAATGTCAGCATTTTTAGCCTTTTCAGCTACTTTTGACTAATTTCAGCTTATTTCTGCTCTATCCAGCTTTTTCCCACACATTTTTGCTTTTTTACCAGCTTTCAGCTATTTCAGCTAATTTCAGCTATTTTCTGCTAATGTAAGCTGTTTTCAGCTAATTTCAGCTGTTTCAGTTTCAACTCACATTACCAATTCAGTGATGAAATCTTTTCAGCTGGTTTCGGCTTCTTCAGCAGCTTTCAGCTAAAATCCTTCAGTGATAAGCGTTCGCTGGATTTTCACAAGAAATAATTCCTCCAGTTCAGCTTCGTTCCTGAAGTTGGACCGTTAGCCTTCAGCTATTTAGCATAGCGCTAGTTTTAATGTTTCAGTTCTGAGGTTCGAGTCCGGACCGTGAGCCACCAGGACTCTGTCCCTCACAGCAAACCTCCAGGTGAGGATCATCCTCGGACCTCGTCCTGCCACAGAGGACACCAGGACGGAGGCAGCCAGGGACATGTGTGGACGGTTTATTGGACAACTGAACCCAGATCAGAGTCTGGTTCTTTCAGCAGGGCAACCCACATTTAAAACTCAAACTGTCCTCAGACCGGGGACAAAGGGACAGAGGGACATGTTACCCAGGTGATGGGAGGACATGTCCAGCAGGTGAGCCCCAAGGGGAGAGATAAGACGGGACATCCACCTGTCCTCACCCTGTTCTGAATGAAGCTGACCTGGAACCTGAACTCTCATCCCTCACCGGGCCTCACCTCGTCTCTGCTCAGGTGGACTACACCTCCAGAACTCATGCAGACCGAACTGGACCGGCTCCAGCCAGAACCCTGCATCGCTACATGACCGCTTCGCTGGACTTGCGGTTCTGTTCGTGACAGGAACCCGGCAGGACGGTGGCGAGTCCAGCGGTCTGAACTTTGACCCACAGGCAGAACTTATTGCAATCTGGCGATGCTGTCCCTGCTGAGGAACCTGCAGGGTTCTAAAAAGGTTCTGATGGAGGATGTGGGGACATAAAACACTGATCCAGGTTAACCGGTTCTTTAAAAGTTCTCCAAACCAGATCCGTGGTCTTCGACCACAGTGTTGTTAATCCTGCTCGCCTGTTCCGTCACCATCAGGAGGAAACGTGGTTTACTTTGTTCTGCTGTTTGGTTCTGTTCGGGTCCAAAACCGTTTAAATCACTGAGTTCCTCCCGGACGGACGGGCCGGATCGGTCTGGACCAGTTTTCTGCACGGCTGAGCCTGAAAGGGAGTTGAAAAGAGGCCCACGCCTCCCGGCTGCTGAACACATTCCAGAGCCGTGGTGAGGTGGACAAACACGGCCCGTTTGGACCTTCTCAGAGACTCTGCTTTAAGCTAAATGTCACGGAGCGGGTCGGAGTGGGTTTGGTTCTGGAGGGGGTTCACGGTCCGTCCTCCTCCTGCTGATCCTGATTTAACTTTGTTTTAATTAAAAACCGTCTCATGTCATGGTTTCATTTAAACTCTCATCAGTGAACAACCAGCAGATTCACCCCGAAGGTCAGACCATGCAATGCTCCCCCTCAGACTCTACAGGTCAAAGGTCAAAGGTCGGGAGAGGACATGTCCCTGTTTTAGGTTTGGAAAAATTCATCGTAAGGAACCACAAGACTCCTGGTACAGAACCAGACCCAAAGACAGCTGTTTACCCAGAATGCACTGCAGCAACCCCCTCCTCACAGCTGTCAGCACGGTGGTGGAGGGCTGATGGTCTGGGCTCCTGTGGACCAGGAACTCCTCTGTAGACCAAAGGGTTCTGGAGTCAGATGTGAAGCTTGGACCAAACTGGGCCCAACAGGACCATGATCCCAAACACAGTAGCTGACAACAGAACGGGTCAGGAAGAACAGAACCAGTCAAGAGTCCAGAACCTCAACCTGCTGGGACCTTCAGAGAGCTCAATGAAGTGAAGCAATGATGGAGAGAAGAGTGGACCAGAACCATGACAGAGACTGATGAAGTCCTGCAGAAAACCACAGAGGTTCTGCTGCTGAAGAAGGTTCTGGATCAGGGCTAGAACCAGGTCCATCTAATGGACCTCCTCTGGTTCTGTCCAGCAGATTAAGCTGACCTTCAGCCTGGTTCTGATGTTTGGATCCAAACAGAGTTTAACACTAAACATTAAATGAAATCATCTGAGAGCATCCTGGACCTGATCCAGGCGGGTCACAGGTGGACCTGGTCCCAGAGCATCCTCCTCCAACAGGATCAATGGACTGTGTGGGTGCTGGTTCTGGTCGTGTGTGGATGCTCTCACCCAGCATGGAGAAGATGAAGTCCTTGGCCGTGTGGATCTCCAGGGCCCGCTGGTCGTCGTACTCCCTCTGGTCGTGCTTCCCGAACTCCTGGATCAGCCGGTTCAGGTCCTCCATGCGGGCCGCCGACCTGAAGTCCAGTTCGGGCCCGCAGCCCGAGCCGCCGTGCTGCAGCCTCCCTGCGGCCGAGGTGGGGCTGTTCCCGAGGCTGCCCGCCGAACCGGAACCAGAACCAGAACCAGAACCGGTCCGACCGGAGAGAGCAGGGGCCGCCATGGTTCCTCACGCGCGTGCACACTGCAACTTCTGCAGGTCTGTTCTGGGCCGAACCGGGCCGAACTGAGCCACACCGAACACAAGCAGCGGAAACAGCTGCGCCGCCCCCACCACCTTTCACAATAAAAGTCCTGCTCAGGTTAAAACACCAGAGTTATTTAGGTCAAATAATTAACTAAACGAGCCAAATAATAATTTGGAAATAATAAAAGGTGACACAAAATACTAAATATTAATTTTTACTTTTACGTTTACCATCAATAATAAAAATAATTTTTGCATACATAAAACTTCTGGGTAATACAATTTTTTTTTATTTTTTTTGTCTGGAGGAATCTGTTGAAATGAGGAATGCAGAGGAAAACAGCAGACGGCAGAAAAAAAATTAACAGTTTTAAAAATAAAATATAAATTGAAATAAGGTGATGCGTTTAAAGTTAAAAAGAAGAATAAAGTCACCATGAATAATAAAACTTAATCAGGTATAAAAGAGTACAAAGATGAAGATGAGAATCTGATCAGTGAGTTAGCAGCACTCAGGTTAAACTCGGGCTGAAAATGTCGTTTTTTCTAAAATAATTAAATTAATTATGAATAATTAAAAGTGATCATCACTGCTAGTGTGTGAGAAATTATTAGAAGAGCTGGATGTGTATAAATTGAACCAGAACATTTATTCAAATAAAATAAAGACCTCAAAGTCATTTTGTAATAGTTAGGATAAGTCATTGTTTAAGTCCCTCTTCTTAGGTTTATTTATTTATTTATTTTTGTTTATTTATTTGACATTTTAAACAGATTCTTTGTTTGGTAAAATAATTTAAAGAAATTATTATCCTTTGAACTAAAGTGCCTTTTAATCTACTACTTTCAAACAATATTTTTGAAATCCTAATGTTTTAAATAAGTTACACGCAAACCAATTTGCGTTTATTTTGAAAGGGCAAGCCGGATGTTGTGATCGGTCCTGATGACGCCATCGCTTTGATTTTGTTTTTCTCGTGCTGCTGTGTCACCCACCGCTCTCTGGATGGCGCTGTCGGCTACCGCCACTCCTCCGAGTCCTGACCCGGTACCGGCCGACCCGCAGAGGTTTCCGGACTCCAACATGGCCTGGAGGAGCTGCTCGGTCCTCTTCAGACCCACCGTAGGAGACCCGTTCCGGAGGGGGAGCAGGTCAGTCCCTGAAGCCGGACAGGAGCAGCGTCCTCCGGCTGACACTCTGACAGAGTTCCGCTGAGCGGAAGTAGCATCTGCTAGCTTCTGTTAGCATGAAGTGATCCGGCTGTTAGCTGCTGGCTAACAAGGCTAACTGCTGTTTGGATTCATTTGACCCGTCTGTCTGTTTTCTTTAGTCATTTATTAATTTACAGTAAATATTTACCTAACATGTTTCAGAAACATTTAATCAGCTGACCTTCATAAGATGTCAAAAGTTTATTTTTATTATTGCAAATTTCTATCATGACACAGCCCTTGATCTCTGCAGATCAAAGCTGCCAATGCGCAGTTTCATGAGGCTCAGAAAGAATTTACACGAGGAAAATTGTTTTTTTAGATGAATTTAGAGAAAATGTCCGAGCTGCGTGATATGTGCACGTGGAACTACAGAATAAATACGATTAAAGGTTAAAAGATGAAGGGTTTGTCCAAGTTCTGGTTAGGTGACCTTCCTGTGAACTGGGTGGTTCTGTTTTTTGATGATGGACTTCCAGCCCATAATTTCGCTGACCGTTCGCCCACTCTACGCAAAAATATGTGGTTGTCTTGAGTTGACCTTTGACCCCTGCTGGGCCGGTAGATGTTTGATTGTAGTGCTTCCGACCCCTGCAGCTCTCTGTGTCCAGCAGGTGGCCTCACAGCTTCCAGCAGAGATGTGGCTTCAGAAAAGTTTCCAAAAAAACAGAACCCAAGAAGGTGGAGGATCCTGTCCCCGCCCACAGAGAGCTCGCCGAGGCTGTCGTCCAGCGCCGGACCCTTACACCTAAGCTGGACCAGCAGACCCCCCTCGGCTCCCCGCAAGCCTTCAGCCGGCTCGTCAGGCCGTTCTTCTTCACAGTGGGGGTAGGTACCACCCGCCTGTCGAAGCAGGATGCGACGTCGTCATGAGCAAGTGTTAACTCCATGTCAGTTTACAGGCTGCTCCTTCGGCGCAGCGGCCATCTGGCAGTACGAGTCGCTCAAGTCTCGAATCCAGGGCTACTTCAACGATGTCCGAGCCGACTGGCTGGAGAAAGTCCGGCCACAGAAACGAGGAGACTTCCGCAAAGAGGTGAAGGAATCTACGTTTACTCCTTCAAAATAAAATAACAAATCCCTGAAACCTGGTCGTCAACTTAAAGACTGAAACATAAAGTTTTGAACAAAGAAACGAGAGCTGATGATTGGCTGCTTGTGTTTCAGATCAACCAATGGTGGCACAGCTTGACTGAGGGTCAGAGGACGGTCACAGGTCAGTGACCCACAAATCCTCATGGTTCTGATCCAAACAAAGAGGGTTCCAAAGATCCAGTTTAGGGTTACGAGCCCATTAGTTTGTTCTTTAGAAGAGCAGCACAAGAAGTTTTAAAAGTTAAAAACGGATCAGTTCTGATGATTCTGTTCGTCGTCACGTCCAGAACCTCGAACTGAGCTTTGCTCCGTCGAGCCCGATGAAGTAAACTTGTTTTGTTTTTCCCAGGGATCATTGCTGCTAACGCCGTGGTGTTCTGCTGTTGGCGGGTTCCGTCCCTGCAGCGCTTCATGGTCAGATACTTCACTGCCAACCCGGCCTCCAGTGAGTAGTTCTGGTCCCGGTGCGGGACCCTGGTACCAGATGGACCCGTGTGAGCGCGATGGTTCAGTGTGACCCTGTGCTTGTCTTCCTGCAGAGACGCTGTGCTCTCCGATGCTCCTCTCCACCTTCAGCCACTTCTCCTTCTTCCACATGGCGGCCAACATGTACGTCCTGTGGAGCTTCTCCACCAGCGCCGTGTCCATGTTGGGCCGGGAGCAGTTCATGGCCGTCTACCTGTCTGCAGGTGCTGCACCACAAACCGCTGCGGGGGTCGGGCTTTTCAGACGCCGAGTCTTATTGTGCTCTATGAAATCTGCTTCAGCTGCTGGCTCTGGTTTTGTCTTTATATGCTACTATTAGCTTTTAGCTTCCGCTCTGCTACTTTTGACTCGGTTTCAGCTTCTTCGGTCCTTCGGCGCTCACTCTGTGTTTGAGCAGAAAATGCTTCTTCTGTCGTTGTAAGAGGATTTTTGTCGTCTGTCTTTCAGGTGTTCTCTCCACGTTTGTCAGTTATGTTTGTAAGATGGCCACGGGGAGGTTCGGCCCGTCTCTCGGAGCGGTAAGGAACATGGTTCTGGTTTTCTAATTGAATACTGGACAGAGGTCGTTCACATCTGTCGTCAAAGATCCACGTTAGGTGATTGCTCTGAGAGGGTGCACACCTGGCAGAACATGTTTAGGACCGGATCAGTTGTACAGCTACAGCTCTGCTGATGATGTCGTTCTGACATCACTGTGGTTCTGGTCCGTTTAGGTCCACACCTTTAGAGTTGTCTCTTGAGTGACTTGTTGTCAGAGCAGAGACTGAAGACTTGAACCTGTGAAGGTGCTCTGGAGTTAGTTGCGGGGGATAAAAGGCAGTGGATTGTTGTTCTGTGATTGACAGCTCATTAGAGCTGGAAGTGACCGCAGCAGGTCCAGAAACAACCAGAACAAACTTTAGATCAAAGAGAAGCCCGCCCTCTGATCCACTTCAACTAACAAACAATACAAACGTTTTATTAAGAAGGTTCATGATGAACATTTCATTTAACCCCAAAAACTCAAACAAACAAAAGCTCCAGTCCAGGAAAAGGTCCTGGGGTCACACTGGTCCAGTAGGAGGTCTTCAGTTCTCATTGGACCATTCAGAACTTTATCTAGTGCTGTCTGAATGCAGATCACTCAGGACTCAGAAACATGTCCCCTCTGGACTCAGAAATGTGTCCCCTCTGGACTCAGAAACATGTCCCCTCTGGACTCAGAAACAT